AAAAATCAATTTGTCATAAAGATAAGGATTTATTCCCAATGAGAAATGTAATTGTGTTGTATACCTACAATGTACCAATAAAAGAATTTAATAAAAAAAAAAAATCACATCCTTGATCCCAGCATCATACACCCTAGATCTGGCCACCTCCAAAAAGCCCACCTGTGACCACATAAGCCTTTGGGGGGAGATCTAGATACAAGCCATAACCCCGTCCCTATAGATACAGTTCTTGCATTTCCTGAAGTAGTTCTGGAAGTCCTCTTTCATGAATGTCTTCAGTTGCAGTGTTGTCGTTACCTTTGTGCCCTGAATCTATTCAAAAATGTTTAGTTCCATGGTCATTCTGACTTTGGAGGACAGCCAGCAATCTCGCAGTCCCAGATCCAATAGATAAGGTCAATAAGGACATACAGTGTCCTTTGTTACAAGCCTTCTTTCCGTTGAACAGCACTCAGCAGTAGCATTCACTGTATTTTTTATCACAACTCCTAAAGACACTCATGAAGGAGAACTTCCTGAACTGCTTCAAAAAGCGACAAGAACAATGGGATAAGTGTGTTCAAAGCAAGGGGGAGGATTTTGAGGGAGGTTAATGGCAGTGCGTCTTTTCCTGTAATGAACGTTTTATTTAAACAGTCATCATATATTTTAATTGCCCCTGTCTGTGTGTGTGTTTACACTAGCACACACACAGATGCACACAGCATGGTGTTATATTTAAAGACTCAGGCACAGCCCTGCACACTTGGAAGCTGAGTCCGCCACCTCCCCACGCTTCTGTCCCACCCACAGAGTGGGAGAGTCCAGGGTCAGGGGGGCTCGGCGGGCCTGTTTCATTTCAATCTATTATTCAGAGTTGTGGTTCTTTTTCTCGGAGGCCCACGGGGGAGTGGAAGCTCACGTGAGGGCTGAGGGAACTGAGGACTGTGGTGAAGAGAACGTCTGGCCGGCGAGGTGGCCGTGGTTTGTGCCTCTAGGGGCAGAGCTGTTATTCCAGACAGAGAACTGCGCATAGGCCTGGGGTGACAGGGACAGACGGCTCCCTGGTCCTAAGAGCTGCCGGCCGGTGGCAGCGCTGGCCCCGGAGGCACTGCTCCCTCCAGCTGAGCCCAGGAGACTGCTAGGCCCTGAGTCCTCCACACAGGGGACTTCACCCCCTGGCACCTCCCAGACTCTGTGGTCCACCTCGGGCAGTGTGGGAAGAGCTGTAAGCTTTGTGCTGACTGTGCCGCCCAGGCAGGAGCATTCGCAACTCAAGCCCAGCTGGGACAACTTAGCTACTTAGTGAGAAAATAAAAGACTACAAAGGGCTCCATGTGAAGGTGCTGGGTTGACTTATAATGAAGTCAGGAACTGATTAATCAGACCTGCGGCTGTGCTGCTTTGCCCGCAGATTGACGTCCTCCGTGGCTGAGCACAAGCGGGCCGTTAGGCCCAAGCGCCGGGTGCAGGCTTCCAAAAACCCTCTGAAGATGCTGGCTGCTCGAGACGATCTCCTGCAGGAGTACACGGAGCAGAGGCTGAATGTCGCCTTCATGGAGTCAAAGCGGATGAAGGTGGAAAAGAGTGGGTATCCCAGCCACAGACACAGTGGAGCAGAGGAGCTGGGCAGGGTTGGCGGAGGGAGGAGCTCTGAGCCAACGTTAAAGACGGATGGGCGGGCAGGAGTCATTTCTGACTATAAATGTTCCATGTCACTAAACACATTGCCTCCCCTCCAAACCCGCCCAGTGTCCTCCAACTCCAACTTCTCAGAAGTGACCCTGGCCGGCTTAGCCAGTAAGGAAAACTTCAGCAGCGTCAGCCTGCGGAGCGTCAACCTGACCGAGCAGAACTCTAACAACAGCGCGGTGCCCTACAAGAAGCTGATGCTGTTACAGGTTAAAGGTAGGAGGAAGTGCACACTGACCAGAGGTTTTGGTCTGGTCTCAGGAGCCCCGACTGCGGCCTTTCCTGCCGGGGAGGGTGGTGTGCGTGCTCCCTGCAGATGCCCCGCAGCAGTGCGGTGCCTGCGCCTCAGAGTCCCCAGGCAGGCAGCGCCTTGCCCACTGAGGCGCACGGAGCTGGAATGAACCTGCTGCCTCTCCTTCCACTCTCTCAGCCTCTGCTCCGCACCCTGGCCCCCTGCCAAGACTGGACACATTCTGGGGAGGAATCGGGCGCCCGGGAGCCCAGGAGGCAGACCCTAGTGCCTTTCTGTCCCCAGCAGGGGAGACACAGGACTAGCAGGGGCACCGGGTGGGGAGGACAGGGCCTCTCTGCCTCCGAGTGGCCACTCTGTAGGTGGACCTCGGGGAAGTGGGTGGAAGAAATATCCTCCACCTGGGCAAGACCATTACCCTTTTTAGCATATTGAAGACGTAACTAGGGGCTCATTCCCGTAGCCTAGCGAGGAGACAGCACTCCGTGTGTAACCGTGGAAAGCTCAGAATCAGCAGCTCATTGACAGGGAGGGGTTGAACGAGGCACCAGGCAGTGCTTCCCTCCACGCTGATTCCTACTGAGATGCCCCATAAGTTATAGGGGAGGCCCTTGGGGAAGGAGATCACATCCAGGAGGAAGGTCCACCTCTCCCTGCAGCTCAACCAGAGATGCCAGGTGTGGGAAGCTTTGGGGAAGGAAGGGGCGTGCTTGGCAGCTTTCCTGGAGGGGAAGCAAAGTGCACGGACTCACCTGCTGCACCGAGACGAGTGGGTCGAGGGTGCAGCCTGAGCAGCCCAGTGCTCAGAGGCGGGCACTCCCGGGAAGTGAGCACCAATGCCTGCCACGCTCGCCCACTGGAACAAGTAGCCCAGGGTCTTCAGAGGTGGGCGTGTCTGTAGCACAGATGTTCAGCCACGGGCCACCCCGCCCTGTTCGTACCGGGAAAACAGCGACCTTGGTCTCACCTTCAGGGAGAAGACACGTGCAGACCAGGCTGGTGGAGCCCCGTGCCTCGTCCCTCAACAGCGGGGATTGCTTCCTCCTGCTGTCTCCCCAGCACTGCTTCCTGTGGGTGGGAGAATTCGCAAATGTCATCGAAAAGGCAAAGGTGGGTGTCTGGACCTAAGATGCTTCCCTGACGTCTCCTCTACACACTGGGGGACCAGTCTGCCTGCTCTAGATCCTTGCAAAGCTTTCCAGACTCGGATGCTCCCTTCACGCAGTCTTTTCCTGGCTGTCACTCAAAGAGGCTTGCATGGGGTGCTCAAGGAGGGGATTTTAGAAGCTTCCTGACCTGCACCTCTAGTCTTCAAGTGCTGGGTTTATTCCTACACCTGTGAAAATAGGGAACCGGCCCCCTTCGAAGCTCTTTATCCCAGGCACACTCCTTTCAGAAGAGAATCTCATGAGGCAAAGCCCAAAGAATGGGGCTAAAGCTTTACATGTGGTCTGTTGCATATTGAAGATTGAGAGCCATTGCTCTAAAAAGAATCAGTCGCATCATCACGCACCTGTGTGTGAGGCCAGCTGAGCAACTTAGCAAGACCCTGTCTCAAAATACAAACTAAGGACTGAGGATGCAGCTCCGTGGCAGCGTGGTTGCCTAACGTATGTGAGCCCTGGGTTCAATCCACAGTACTGTAAAAAAAAAAAAAATTGCTGAGCCTTGGTTCTTCAGCTACATTTTCTTGACTTTATTGAGATGCCAACAACCAGTGTCCTCTGGGCCTGTAGGCACAAGATTTCCCTTTGAAACATACACTGTTTCTCCTCTCTGATTGTGACATATGCCACTCCATCCACCCATGGACTTTTCTAACCAGGTGATCTCCCCCCACCCCGCCCCCTCTCTCCCTCTCTCTCAGGCCTCAGAACTTGCAACTTTAATTCAGACAAAAAGGGAACTTGGTTGTCGAGCGACTTACATACAAACCATCGAAGAAGGAATTAATACACACACTCATGCAGCCAAAGACTTCTGGAAGCTCCTGGGTGGCCAAGCCAGTTACCAATGTAAGAATCACTGTGTTTCAGAGACTGACATGACTTGAACTTCCCTTCTGCTCCCTTGGTCCATTCTTCTAAACCAGCTGCTTTTTGATGTCCAATGTGATGCTTTCCTACTGTTCTTGCCCCAAAGCTGCTGGTGACCCTAAGGAAGACGAGCTGTATGAGGCAGCCATCATAGAGACAAACTGCATTTACCGCTTGGTGGATGACAAACTCATCCCTGACGACGACTTCTGGGGAAAAATTCCCAAATGCTCCCTTCTACAACCAAAAGAGGTACATGGCTTATTATTGCCCAGCTTTCCTGTTGCCGGGTCAAGTACCCGACATAGGCAGCTTCCTGGAGGAAGCGTTCATCTGCCCTCACAGTTTCAGGGGGTTCAGTCCATGGCTGGTTGGCTCTGAAACAGAAACATCATGGTAGAAGGGCCTGGCAGAGGGAAGCTGCTCACCTTGTGGCAGCCAGGAAGCTGAGTGAGCAAGGGAAACCCAGAGAGGAAGGGACCGAGACCAGATATGGTCCCCACGGTCACAGCCTCCTGACCCAACCAGACACACCCAGAAGTGTGCTCACTCTCCCGGGCATCTCTCAAGCCAATCCAGTTGACAGACAAGATTAACCATCACAGAGCTTCAACAAGACAACACACTTAGAGCATTCTGCCTGGGGATGTCCAATAAAATAGATAGTAAGTGTCCAGTGAAAGATAGCCAGCTTTAGTACCACCTGTCAGCCCCCGAAGCTCTTTAAAGGATATTTATGTGGGATTTCAAACTATTGCTTCCGTCTGAAATATTAATGCAGGAATCAGAATGTTATTCAGAGGTGGTGTAGATCATGAAGACATTTGTATTTTAAGCAAAATGTGTTATTTAGCCCTATCTCTTGAATTTTCTAAGCAAAATATTTTTGGTTCTTAACATTCAGCAATAATAGATGCATGTATGTATAACAATAATTTTCCAAATAATGTGATGTTTTTTCTACTCACATCAGTAAATATTTATTAATTACATACATTTCTAATACCATTAAGTATTCTAAGTGTTGAGGAAAAATGCAAAATAAAAAAGGGCCTTAAATTTCACTGGGTAGAAATATAACACAAAGCTAGATTGAGTATGTGATATGAAGGACATTTAGATGGGAATAAAATCACAGACAAAAAATTATGAGAAATAACTTTTAAAAGAAAGTAAAATTGAGCCTAGCTTGGAGTTAAGTAGAATTTGCATTGCTGAAAATAAAAAAGGAGAAATTATTTTAAGAATAAAAAGTAGAACAAACCACAGACATAAAAATAAGGGATAAAATTATGTTCATGTGTTCATTCAGCAAACCCCAAGTTGAAGTCTAAGTATGATGTGATCCCTGCCCTTAAGGCTCTTGGAATTGTCCGCAGGAGGAAAGCAATCACTGACATGCATCAGTGCCTAGCATGTTTAAGTGATCTCTATTATGTTAAATGAATAAATGAACAAATGTGGAGGGAGAAAGGGAGGGAGGGAGGAAGAGAAGAAGATACACTCATGCAGCTCGGCTGTCAGTCAAAAGTTAAGTGGTGTGTTAGCAGCTTTCTGTGACTGTGACAAAATACCTGAGAACAACACTTAACAGAGGACAGGGTTAGTTTGGCTCATGGTTTCAGAGGTTTCAGTCCATGGTCAGCTGGCTCCATGACTTTGGGGATTGAGACGAAGAAGCTGAGGGCAAGTTAAAATCCCCAAGGTCACCCCCCATGGCCCATTCCCTTCAAATAGGCCTCGCCTCCTAAGTTTCTATCATCTCCCAATGATGCCATCGAATTATGAATGCCGTGAAATTATGGATCGGTGCATTGATTAAATGAGGGTCCTTGTGAGCCGCTCACTTCCCAAAGCCTAGCACTGGCAACCAGGCCTCAATGATGCGTCAAACAGGGACCCTTTAGATTCAAGCCACAGTAAGCAGTTCTGCGTTCAGAGGAGGAGACATTAACTTGGGCACTGGGACAGCGAGGAGAAGGAGTCGCCCCACAAGGCCAGGGCTCCCGCTCGGCGCTTGGGACCTTCTTGTGTGTGCACTGACTGCGCCTTGGGATCCGCATCACCACCCATCTGCCCCGCTGGCCATGGAGTCCCAGCCCACGGCAGCAGGCCCTTGAGCTAACAAAGCCTTTTGTGCCATCTCCCCAGGTCCTGGTGTTTGATTTTGGTAGTGAAGTGTACGTGTGGCATGGGAAAGAAGTCACGTTAGCCCAGCGAAAAATAGCCTTTCAGCTGGCGAAACACTTATGGAACGGAACCTTTGACTATGAGAACTGTGACATCAACCCGTTGGACCCTGGCGAGTGCAACAGGCTCATCCCCAGGTACCCCTGCGGCCCCGGCACCATGCGTGCGGCAGCGAGCAGAGTTCCCCAGGCCTCGGGTCTTGCTACACTCGTGCACTTCCTGCTCTTCACGTAAAGGTTTCGGTTTCATAGAAGGTTCTACACCATGGGCTATGAATCTTCACAAAATGAGAATTTTTTAGCTTTTATCAGTCACATCTAAAATCAAAGTAAATATAGAATTGCAGCCTTCAGGAAGCCGTTTGGGTCATACTTAATTTTTGGAAGCAATGGTAGACCCCCCCGGCCGCGTTCCAGGTGCTGTTGTGACAGACGAGCAGCAGTTGTTTAAACAGATTCCGTCCTGAAAAGCTTCCTGGGATCTGGAACTCTGCCACTGATCTGGAGGTGCAAAAGTAATTTCATACCTGCGCCGCGCAGAGTCCTGGCATTCATTTGGCAGAGGATGATGGTCATACTTTTTGGAGTAGAACAAAGGAGGAGGAAATGCTATTGAAATAATGACGACAGTCTTAATATTCTCTACAGCAGACTGGGCTTTTAAAAGTTGAATTGGCAGGGCCAGGGATTTAGCTCAGTGGTTTCACCGCCTGCTATGCAAACGCAAGGACCCAAGTTCAATCTCCAGTACCAAAAAAAAAAAAGTTGAATTGGCAAATCAGTAGAATATGTACTAACTCTAAGAAATATGATCATGGGAAAAAAGAATTATTACCTTCAAAGGATTATTGCTTTTTTAACCACCAGACCAAAAAAAAATGATTTCTCATTATTTATGCCATATAATAAATTAGAATAGTTATATCACCAACCAACATAGAACTGTGTTCAAATTTCAACTTTCCTACCTTGTTTCTTATTTTAAAATTGAATTACTAATTTATTATCAATGTATTTCCTTAATAATTAAAAGTGAAAATTATGTCAATGTGGTGAAAAATTTTAAACCCTTCTTAAGCAAATGTCTATTTAACATTAGTACTGTAACAGCCAGGGTTTTAAGGACTTCAAGGAAAGCTAGGTTGTATTATTTGCTATAGTAAAATAATGCTGAAAGATAGAGTCTATATGATGGCCAGTCTATCTTTGGGATGGGAGTGGGGTGATCACAGACCTGGGAGTAGGTGAGTGAGCACCTGACTCCCTGGTATCCAGCTTTTCTTCCCAGACTCCCTGGAGGACTTAAAAAACGAAATGCACATGCCAGGCCCAGCCCTAAGGTGTGTGGCAGCTCTAGTGAGCATCACTCAGTGTCAGTGTGTCTGATAAGCTCCCCGGGGGACTTTTAGGGGCAGCCAAGATCACACCCCTGATAGAGGAGGACGCAGCAGCCACCAGATGTAATGGTGACCCCCGGCCCAGTGTCGGTGCGGGTGAAGAGGCAGACAGACCCCTGCGCTGCAGTCTGCTGTGTCTCCCCGACAGCCTCGCAGAGCAGTTGGATTTTCCATGGTCGCTGATATTTAGCTCTCCCTAGAGCACAGGGTAGGAGTATTTGCAGTCTGAGCTTTAGCTGCTCAGTTCCCTTGGAAACAGGCAGCCTCTTTGACGTGATGTTAGAAACTGTGGTCATGATCAAATGGGAAGAGGCTGGAGCTGGAGCGAGGGCGCCCTGGGGCCTGGCTGCCATGTTTGTTCTAAAGGCCTTGTCTTTGTATCCTGAATTGGGGTCCTTTCTTATCCACTTCCTCTCCCCAGAAAAGGACAAGGGCGGCCTGATTGGGCGATATTTGGGAGACTTACAGAACACAATGAGACTATTTTGTTCAAAGAGAAATTTCTTGACTGGACGGAACTGAAGCGACCTACTGACAAGAACAGCGGGGATCTTGCGCAGCAGAAGGTATTCCAGGGACCAGCTTCAAACTCAGAGCTTGGTGTGCATCTCAACAAAATGTGCCTGGGTGGTCAGAGCCTTCCCAGGGTGCAACGGGAATAGAGCAAAGGGTATCCAGTTCACCGTAGTGGCCCCTAGAGGCTTCCCCCAAAGGCAGTCCACAACCCCAGGCGGCACAGCGTGTGAAAGCTGACCCTCCGCTGCCCTGTGAGGGAAAAGCAGGGCTGCTGAGGGTGTGCCTCGCCTCAGGGCACAGTGCTTGCCTGCCTCGAGGGCGGCAGGGGCGAGGCCCTGAGTTCCTTCCATAGAGGAAGGGAGGGAGGGAGGGAGGGAGGGAAGGCAGTGGAAGCAGCCTGGAGCATGATAGGAGGCCGCTGTCGATCAGAGGCAGCTGAACACACATCCCTGTGTTCCCCGCAGGAAGAGGCCAGGGCGGACGTCAAGCCATACGATGTGACACGGATGGTGCAGCTGCCCCAGGTGGTGGCCAGCACCGTCCTGGATGGGGTGAATGTGGGCCGAGGCTACGGCCTGGTGGAAGGGGACGACAGGAGGCAGTTCGAGATTGCTAGCGTCTCCGTGGACGTCTGGCACATCCTGGAGTTTGACTACAGCAGGCTCCCGAAACAGAGCATCGGCCAGTTCCATGAGGGCGATGCCTATGTGGTCAAGTGGAAGTTCATGGTGAGCACTGCAGGTTAGTGACACCTCTGTCCCTCGGTCCAGAGTGGGGTGGAGGGCAGGACCCGCTGCACGCACCTCGGGACCCCCACGGCTGTGTGCGTGCATGCGGCAAGCTAGCTGTGCCCTGCTGAGGACAGCTTGGGAAGCGAGGCCTCTCCCAGCCAGCACCACTGTGTCTCTGTGCTCATAGCAGGAAGCAAGCCTGACACTTTGGGCTTCCCGCTGCCCTCACTGAGTCCCCTCTCAGTCCCCAGTGCCACTTTGCCTCCAAACAATCCCTGAGCTGTGTGCTGCTCCAAACAGCCACTAACTAGAACACATCTCAAAGATTTCAACTGGAGCCAGAATGGTGAAGGGATATTTTAGTAAATACACTTTGAAAAGTCTTTGCTTTTGTTTTTTTCAAGTGAGAGGTCTGGAGATATAGCTCAGGGGCAGAGCACTTGCCTAGCACATGTGAGGTCCTGGGTTCAATCCCCAGCGCTGCAAAAACATCTTTCTGTGAGTCTGGGAGCATTGGCCACGCTTTGTGGTCGGAACTCTTTGCGGTTCCTCCCCAAGAGATCTTCTAGTTTCACTTCACACCAGGGCCATGAGGAGAAAGGGCCTGCCGTGCACTTTGGAGATTCAGTCCACTTCCGCTGCCCACTGTGCTCCTCGCCAGTGAGGAGCACATTTCTGTCACCACTGATTTTGGGACTCGGCTTGCTAGAGAGCTTGCAGACCTCCTTGCAGCCCCGTTTCTGAGCCACAGGAAGCCAGCGAGCACACATCTGTTTGCAGAGCAGAAACTGAGACCCCTTTGATTTTCCCGATTCATCACAAGTAGGTCTGCTAAGTAGTGGGCGTCATGCCCCAGGCCCCGCCGCCTAGCAGCGTGTGGAGTAAATGACAATAGGGCAGTGGAGGAGAGGGGTGTCGGCCTGGTGGTGAGGACACCACTCCCTTGACATGGGCTCTGCCACAGTGCAGTGCGGAGGCCCAGCCTGACGGGGGCATCGCTGGCAGGGTGGGGCGTGTGGTGGGCAGAGCTGGGCTGCGGCTTGGAGCGTCCACTGGCCCTGAGGTGTGTTGCTGGCGGCCTAAGCCCGCACCTGGTGGTGGCTCTCCTTGCACGGATTTCTCAGATGAGCGGCAGAACAGCAGATGGAGTAGCCTGCCTGGAGTCTGGCAGACAGCAGGTAGCAGCGCAGTCCACGGAAACCCAAGTGGCTGCTTTCCAAAGCTGAGTCTGCTGTGACCCTGCTAGGCTGCTCATCCTGTGGGACGGAGGAAGGCAGAGTCTGTGTCCCAGCACAGGATTTGGGGTGACAGACGGTGGCCATAGGAGGACCCACGGGCCCAGGCCCCAGGGCACAGCTGAGCCAGTTGCTTCGGGGACCTTCCTCCACAGACGGAGCAAACGCAGGTCTGGCGGGGGCCCCCTTCCAGGCTGGCGTGGGGTATGGAACAGGCGCCGCTGGAGGGCATCTCCCGTCTGCCTCTTCCTCCTCATAATCAGAACTGCGCCTGCCCCTTCCCAAGGAGACTCCCACTGGAGGAGAGGCCGTGGGCGCTGGAGCCCAGAGCCAAGAGTCAGTGGCCCAGGCCTCGCTTGGCCACCATGCGTGTCCGGTGAAGGCAGGTGAAGCCTGAGCCCCGACTTTCCCCTGGCCTACAGCACAGCGTAATCTGGTGTTCGCGATGCTCAGGGCAGTGCCTGGCGCCTGCTCCTGGTGTAGGCCCAGGATCTTCCACACCCAGCCACTGTCCTCAGCTGGACGATGGGGTCACGTGGGCCTGCCCAGAGGGACAGGGTTGCCAGAGAGTGATCAAGGGGGCCTCGGGTCCCTGATGTCACGCAGAGGCAGCCAGCGGCCGTGGCAGTCTACACGGCCGGAGGCAATGAGGCAGTGCTGGGGATCTCAGTGTGTGCTGGGGGCAGGGACCACGGGCCGTGGAATGGTGGAACTAGGAACCTGAAGGCAAAAGCTTTAAAGGCACTTACTTGTCTTTCCCAAGACGCCGAGAGGGAAATACATGTCTGATAAAATGAGACAAAGGGGCAAAACAAATTGATATGTAGTCACTTTCTCATCTTCACTGTTCTAAACAGAAGTAGTAGTAAGTGAATGAATGGCTAAAACTGCATTAAAGTGAATTACTGTTATTTGAGAAAATCAGTCTAGGGTTTCCAAGATTTTCACTGAGTGTTTACTTAGAGGCTCCTAGGAAATCATGATGACCCAGGAGATCCTTTTAAATTTCTTCCCGAGAAACCCAGTGTACATCTCACAGCAGTATCTTCATGAGCAAAGCTCCCGCTCTGGAAACCTCCAGCTCCAGAGGATGAAGGTAGAATATTCGGCCCCTGTGCATCCACCTGGGAATAGAGCAGCCGCCTGGGGCATTTACAGCCACTCTGTGGCCGGGCCGGAAGTGCTGGCCCTTGGATGGCTGCTAGTCCAGCTCCCCGTCGCTCTTACCCCATCAGGGCTTGTGTTAGTTACTTTTCTCTCATAACTGAGACAAAATACCCGACACCCAAAGATAGAGGGGAAGGGGTTTATTTGGCTTACAGTTCGTAGAGGTTTCAGTCCATAATTGGCCAGCTTCGAGGCTGGGATGGCAACCAAGCATCACAGAGGAGAAACAACATGGCATCCACAAGGCAGCAAGGGCGACAAGGGACACAGTTCATGGCAGTGGAAGACAGCAAAATGCAACCAGGGGCCTTCACCACATCTTTCTGCTTCTTTTATCCCATCCAGACTACTTAGGGCAGGCAGCATGCACACCCTTAATCCTAGTGCCCTTGAGCCTAGCATCAAACCATGACTCAATCCCAGCTTCACACACTCTAGATCCAGCCTATGACCACGTGAGTCTTTGGGGGGACATCCAGGCCCAAACCCTAACAGGACTGCACCCACAAATGAGACTGGACTCAGAGCTCGGGTATTCTTGTTGGTCAGGGTGAGCAAAAAGCAGCAGCTGTAGAGGAAGCGCAGTCTCCTCATAGAGGGTGCTGGTGGCCCACATGGGTCACCCTCTGTGCCACCTGTGCCCATCTCAGGCTGCAGCTGCAGGGTATGGCTTGTGCCTCTGTGAGGTCAGGAGACCCAGCTTAAAGAGCCCAGTGATTCGGGGTCAGTCTAATTCAAGCAGTGATGTATAGTCAAGTTCCTAGGTGGCTGTACTTATCAAAAAATTCTGAGATTCATTTGTGAAAACCGTTAAAGGGTACTTTGCTAAGAAAAGGACCAGAAATCAAATAGTGTGGCCCCTGACCTCTTAAGAACTTGAATTAGCTTTCCTCCTACCTTCAAACCTCCAAACAACTCGAGTTTCACAAATAGTGTTGGAGCAAAGAAAGATTGAAGTCATGCAGTCCCAAAGAATCCCGTTGTTATCATTAATTTTCAATCTGTATGGGTGTTAACACCAACTACATTCTGCTCTCATTGTTCCCTTGCTCGTCAGTTTTCTGTACTGTAACAAAATACCTGAGATAATAAACTCGTAAAGAGAAAGGTGTATTTGGCTCATGGTTTTAGAGGTTCCAGTCCATGGAGTTGCCCTGGGCCTCTGGCAATGGCAGCACATCATGGCAGAGAGTGGGTGACAGACGAAAGCTCATTTCCTGCCCTGGACATGAAAAGGGGGAGAAAGGAAGAGGTGGGGTTCCCTCTCACCTTCAGGCTGTGCCCCTAGAAGCTGGAAGGCTTCCCACAAGCCACCACTTGCCCAGCTTCTCCAAAGGACCTTGCCTGAGCACAGTCCTGTCAGCCCCCACTGGCCGGGTGTCCTGGCCGCCATCTGCTTTGCTCATAACATTTGTCACTATCTAACACTGTCGTGCTCTTCCGCTTGTTCATTAGAATGAATAGCCTGCAGGGGGAACAGTCAGCACTGCTGCCTGCCACCCTCTGGGGACAGGCAGGAAGGCCCTGAGATTTGATGAAAATGATAGACCAGCAATTTATCTCTTCCATTGCTGACAGAACTTGGAAATTTCAAAGCTGTTGTCATCTTTTTTGTTGAAACTGGAATAGTTGTAACCATCTGCATTTTTCCCTTTACACTTAACGCCGGTCGAGCTGTTTTTTCAGTATTGCTCCTCTCCTGGCTAATCGTTTGCCAAAGAGTGGAGCAATGTGGAAAACACACATGTGTTTGCGTGAGCCCATGCTCCGGCTCCAGCATCACCGTTTCTCCCTGTGGCACACTTGAGGGACCTGTCACCTCCCTCTGGGATGACACACATTTGCCTTTGCATTTCGCTGTGTGGGCAGCTCTGGACCATTGGCAGAGGCTGGCTTCCCTCTCGGAGTTGCCAAGTCTGTCAGCCCCGTGTCCCGAGGCGAAGCACCTGCTCTTCCTCCCGTTTCTCAGCTGGTTCCTCACCCTCTGCCATTCTGTGTTTGCAGTGGGAAGCAGACAGAGGGGAGAGCATTTGGCCCGAGTGGCTGGCAGGGAGAAATGCGTCTATTTCTTCTGGCAAGGCCGGCACTCGACTGTGAGTGAGAAGGGAACCTCAGCCCTGATGACGGTGGAGCTGGATGAGGAGAGGGGCGCACAGGTAAGATGCTGCGCAGGGGCCCAAGGGGACGCTGCGTCGTCCTCAACCCTGCAGTGTGATCTGGCAGCCAGTGTTGTGTGCAAGCGGCAGCTGTCGGAGCCATGCCAGGGCCAGTGAGTGTTTCTGAAGGTTTCCACCTAACTGGTAACTGAGGAATTACAGATCGAACGAGGAGACCCATTACCCCCTCCTAGGATTGGTAGAGACTCCAAACACTGCGTGCCCAGCTGGCAAGGACCCAGCAGCACGGGCCTCTCTCATGCTCCCCTGGGAGGCCCCACTTGGACACCATCCCGAGAGCACCTCAAACACCCACGCCATTGCTTGCAGCACTTAGCCAGTTCACCTGAAGGAAGCCCCAGAGACCCGTGGGAAACACGGGATATTCCCACCGGGTGAAAATCAACCCAGTGATTTTTCCAGAGCCCACTGGTTTGTGTCATGGCCCTAAGTGAGCTCCCGTCATTTCCAGCGCTTCCTGCTCTCCCTGCACGCCTCCCCAGCCTCCTCCTCCTCTGCCCTGAGCCCAGGCTGCTCCGGCCTGCCTGCCGATCTCAGGCACACCTTGCCACACTCCCTCAGACCTGTACCTCTGGGGTGCAGCCCTGCATCCAGATGTGCAGTCCTGGAAACGTGATGATCTCAGCACGTAGCACCCACCTCTTAGGACGAGGGTGACTGTTAGTGCCCCTGTCACTCACACGCCTCCCACACCCCTCACCCCGGTCCCTTTACTGCACTGTCTCCTTACTACTTGCCGCCACCTGAGACTAGTCACGGGGTGTACGTACTTACCCATCTTCCCCCAGGAGCAGCAGAGACCCAGCAATGCCGGCCTTGCAGCTCCAGGGCCTGCATCATGCCCGACCGGTTCCCCTGCCCGATCCCAGTGTTGGGTGAACATTTCCCTTTACTGCTTGGATAATCTACGCCATGTGTCTCATCCTTTGGTACCAGAAATTAAGAGCTGACACTAGGCTTTTTGGGAAACATGACACCGTAATATTTCCCCCCTCTTGGATGAGTGACTGAGAATAGCATAAGGAAAGAGCAGAGAAACAGAAACACAGCCTTTCAGAGTCCTCAGAACTGATAATCCTCCCTAAAAAGCCTGTAATGCATATTGTCTACTATGGAACATGTTTTCAAAATAGTGGTCAGCAAGAGTTGCATTTTAATTTCCTCCTAAGAGCAGGTCATCTCCACCACCTTTTCTTCTGTAAAGGCCTGGGTGAATAATGTTCTATTAATGCCTTAAAAGCGACCTTAGAGCTTTGGTCTCAATCTCTCTGGATTGGGCATTTTAGCTCTTCTCAGTCCACCCAATGGAAACATCACTGTCCACACACGGTATAAAACACTGCCACAGGATGGCACTTGACTGGCCTTCGTGGAAAACGGGCCAAGGTTGGGAAGTTGACTCATGGCAAGGAATGCTTCCTGTTGTTCAGTGTTCCCCGACTGCCAGCTCAGTGGACATTTCCTCTTTAAGGGGAAATATCCTGCCAAAGTGAGAGTGAGTGGACCCACTGCTAGTATCCGTTAAGGGGCAGCTGAGCCCTGATGAGAGAGAGCGCGTGAACAGGAAGAGCGGAGGTCCTGGGAGAGCCACAGTGCTGCGTGAGCACACTGTGGGACCGTGCCTTAGCTTTCCATTACCATAACAGATGCCTGAGGTAATGGACTTCAAAAGGAAAAAGGTTGATCGCGGTTCATGGCTTCAGAGGTTCTGTCTCATGATCAGTTGGCTTTTAGGCCAACTTCTTTAGGCTGGTGATGAGACAGCCTGTCATGGAGGAACACGTGGAGGAACAAAATTACTCATGTCCAGCAGGTGGAAGAGAAGAAGAGGCTGAGGTGCCACAGTCCCCTTCAGGGCCACGCGCAATGACCTCACTTCCTCCCGCTAGGCCCCGCCTCTTAAAGGTCCCACCACCTCCCAGTAGCACCACGCTGGGAACCAAAGCCTCCAAAACGTGGGCCTTCGGGGACATTTAAGATCCGATTACTGAGCTGGTTACAAAGCATGCGTCCCCACCCCCAGAATTACCAAGTGAGTGATTAGGCACTCTTGTCTCTGAGAGCTACACTTCGTTCAAAGTGTGTTATGTCAGTCGTGTGGCAGCCACATCACAGAAGAGCCTCCAAATGTCAAAATTCATGTTTCAGAAGAATATCAACAAGAAAAAAATAATGAGTGCTAAAAATGAGGGTATAAGGCAACAGAAAAACAACACTCCTGCTTTCGTTTAGGACCAAACATAGACCTGAAAAATGCTTTGAAGGAAGTGATACACCTTAAAGCGACAGTGCTGGTCTTTGGGTGCAGCGCTGTCACTGGCCTGCGTGTGTGGGTCTCAGAGTTTTCAGATGCCCGACAGCAGGCGTGCGCTGTGCTGTGACGGTGGGAGCCCAGCCCTGCCGTCTGACCAACTGTGTTTAACCTTGAAGGTCCAGGTCCTGCAGGGGAAGGAGCCGCCCTGCTTCCTCCAGTGCTTCCAGGGCGGGATGGTGGTGCACTCCGGGCGCCGCGAGGAGGAAGAGGAGAACACGCAGAGTGAGTCTGGGCTGTTGTTGGGATTCATAAGGCTTCCTTCTCCCAGAGGCATCTTACGGGTAAGGGGTAGAAAGTGCGTCTATCTTCATCTAGCTGCGGCTTTCCCAATGGAAACCTCCTGGTGTTGGCCTGATGGATCAGCTTTCCACCCCCTCAACACGCACACACACTGAATTTCTTTTCGGACCCACCTTTGTGTGGAAGACGCTGGAAGATTGCTTTGCCTTGAACTAAATTCTCTGACTGCACTTTTTAGGAGAGGAAAACAATCAGTGGCTCATCTATTATAAATTATAATTTCTTGTTGGTCAGCTTCCCCCCACCGAAAACAATCCGAGCTTTAGAGCTGTGCGACTTACTGTGTAAATTGTGGAGAAGAAGTCTTTCTGCATCCTGAACTTCTGGCAACCTGCTTCTAACTAACTCCAAAATGATTTGCTTTCTGGGAAGCCCAGATGTGGTCCTCACTCAGCTGAATGGAGGCTGCAGGGACCTGGGTCTCCCCTGTTCCCGGGAGCCCCTGCCCTGTGTGTGGTGGCTGGCTCAGGCCTAACTGTGCTCCTGGCGCCCCCTGCAGGTGAGTGGAGGCTGTACTGTGTACGAGGGGAAGTGCCAGTGGAAGGGAACTTGCTGGAGGTGGCCTGTCACTGCAGCAGCCTGAGGTCCAGAACCTCCATGGTGGTCCTCAACGTCAACAAGGCCCTGATTTACCTGTGGCATGGATGCAAAGCGCAGGCCCACACGAAGGAGGTGGGAAGGACTGCAGCGAACAAAATCAAGGAGCAGTGAGTATCGTGTGCCCATGAAGAGCTGTCCTCAGAAGGGGCCTCCGAGTGGGATGAGAGCAGGCCAGGAGGGAAAGGCCCCCCATGGACACCTGGTATGCCCAAAGAGACATCAAGAGACAGGTGGGTGGAATTGGTGGGACCCATTCAGCCAGGACCTCTGAGGTGAGGGCGTCGCCAGCTTTCTGAGATTCACCCGCCTCAGTAAACGGCAGCACTGAGCAGGTGCAATGGTGCTGCTAGTCCCAGCTACATGGGAGGCTGAGGCGGGAATGTTGCTCGACCCAGGAGTTTGAGGCCAGCCTGTAACACAGCAAGACCCCATCTCCAAAAACAACAACAAAAACAGGCATTGCCGAGAGCAAGGGAAATGACGGCAGCAGACACATTAGCTTCATCCTCATAGGTACAGTTCAGCTTTTCAATTATAAGCCGGGAATCCTTTGATATTTAAAGAGCAAATTCTAAATATCTTCCAGGGATTCTAAGTCTTAGTTTTGTCAGAACAGCAGGGGAAAAGCTAGAGAAGCATCGGGAGGACAGTGAGATGTCCCCCGTGGAGAACAGCACTGCGACCTTCTCAGCAGTTCCCGGCAGGGGTCCCTTGGGCACAGAGCCCCGGTGTGGGTCTTGTCCCTTGGCCATGAGCCCTCTTCTGGAGGCAGAGCACTGAGCAAGGGCCTGGGGAGAGGGGACACTGGAGCCTGGGGAGGAAGATCAAGAAGGCTGTCACTCCTGCCCCCACCCCCGTCACCTGGAGAACTTAGCTCTGCTCGGGAGGGCAGTGAGAGGGAGGGACACAAGCGAGCTCGCGGCCGACAGACGGAGGGCAGCTGTCTCGAGCATTGCTCTGTGGGCTGCAGAGCAGGGAGTGGGGGAAAATGGTGCTCAACCGGCTGTCCAAGGGCGCTCAGGCCCTGCCACTGTGTTCACCTGGACCACTGAGAAAAAACGAAACAGCCAAAATTCATTTATTCGTTTACCAGTGCAGTCAGCAGAACATGTTTGAGCTCCTCTTTGTGCAAAGCATAGATTTAGGGACCAGGACTGGGCAGTGAATAAACCCACTCCCTTCTCTGCATGACATTTACGTTCTAGCCCTAAAGGACAAGAAACAGTAAAAGTGTGTCGTAAGTTAAACTGTGGATTATTTTCATTGCTTATCACATGTAATCGTGTGATTCTCCCTAGGGCCACGCCAGCCCTTCCTCTTCCAAGAATTTATTTTCATTATTAGTAAGAACCGAAGCCAGTGGAACTGAGTGAGCCGGCCCCTTGACTGCGTCCTCGGGAGTTTGTGCTGCTGGCTCTTCCCCAGCGTACAGGGCCTCATGGGTGTTTGTCCCACGCAGATGCCCCCTGGAAGCCGGACTGCACAGCAGCAGCAACGTGACGATTCACGAGTGTGAGGAAGGGGCTGAGCCCTTGGGCTTCTGGGACGCGCTAGGCAGGAGGGACAGGAAAGCCTACGACTGCATGCTTCAAGGTAATGCCACGGCCCAGAGCCTTCGGCTGGTTTTGCTTCACTCTGATGGTTCAGTATTTATTGAGCATATGCTATGCGTGACACCCAGTGAACCAAACCCAGGTTTTGTCCTCCAAGCCCACCACCCAGTGGAGGGGCTCAGCGGTGCACACATGTGAGTAATTAGAACCCAAAACCCAAGTCGCTGTGTCACGGAAGAGGTACAGGTGAGGGGAGCTGAGGAGACCCCACGACTTTATGGAAAAGGTGGCGCTGCCCAGTGCCTTGGAGGTGGGTGCAACGCAGAGAGAAGAAAATTCCGGGGGCTCAGTGAGCAACAGCACCGCGTGGCCTGCGGAACAGGACGCTGTGCAGTCGGCCCAGCAGCCAGGCGCGGGGGAGAGGGGGAAGGCTGGTGACAGAGGGGTCCGGGCCACGTCAGGGAGGATCTGAGTGGGAGGCCGAAAGCCTGAGCCATTCACAGAAGTCACTGCCGGAGGGAGGCGTGGAGGGCAGGGACTGAAGCCCTGCAAACCTAGGAGATGTTTCATGAGTCGTGAACACAGGAAAACTGCCAGCAGCCTGTGAACTGGGAGCCTAAAACTCAGACAGGCTAAGAGGAGACCACTAAGGGACACAACATGAGTCGGCCAGGGGGGCAGGCAGGAGGAGGGGCGGGCGTGGAACCACTGGGCTTCGTGCAGAAGCTCTTGACCTCTCTGCGACAGAGCCAGGGACCCAGCCCTCAGAAAGGCAGAGCAGAACACAAGTGTGTGACGTTGGGTGTGGCCATCAGCTAGGACTGGCGATTCAGAGGCAGGAAGGAACTTGTGAAAAGCGCATGAGCAAGGTCCTGGGTATCAGGAGGGGACAGGTGCCACTGTCAATGGCGCCAGGACAACAGAGCAATGCCCTTGGGCCTGAGCGCGAGCTGCTCATCAGAGGCCTCACCAAGCAGTGTCAAGTCAGCTGGCAGGAGGTTGCGTGGCTGCTGAGGAGGTGAGCGGAAGCCTGGGGGAGGCTGGAGAAACCTCCACTCCACAGCCTTCTGCAGCTGGGGAGATGTTTCCAGTTTTTCTCCATTATAGCACAGAAAAGGAAAGCACAGCAGGGCTATGCACCTCCTGTCTGAAATGCCTGGAACCAGAGGTGTTTCCATATCACATAATGAGTCATCTCGGGGATGGCACCCAAGACTAGATGCAAAACTTATGTCTCCCACCTGGACACAGATAGCCTGAAGGTCATTTATACAATGTTTTAGGACCCGTGTTTTGACTGTGACCTGTCACATGAGGTCAGTTGTGGAATTTTCTACTTGTGGTATCATTTCTCTGCTCAGAAAGCTTTGGATTTTGGAGCATTTGACTAGGGCTGCTCGATCTGTAGGAGGAGGAGTATCAGAGTTCAAAGGAACACTTTTAGGGACTAGATGATTTAATGTGTTGTCTGTTCTTGGTGCCAGTCTTGGGTAGAGCAGAAGAATCCAACTGAGAAAAGGACTGAAGTGTAGAAATGGATGATTAAAGGAAGAAACCCCACTAGGATAGGGATCACAGGGGAAAGTCACCTTGGGGAGGGTGACATCTCTGTTGATCATCTTCTTCATGCCCAGCTTGTGCTGAACGTTTTGAGTTGGGCTTGCGAAGAGCACCCACTGTCACCAAAGCTGACAAATGTAGGTGGCCCGTGGGAGGGGCACGGGCTACCCAGCCACACCCCGTTCATTATTTTCTGATGTTTGTCAGTCTAGGCTTTTCTTACCCCAAAGATGTTGAAATCCTGTGTGTTTTTCTTTGGTTCTGTTTGTCATGTTTTACCTTAATTCTTCAGTCCAGCTGGAATTTAGCTTCATGAGTGTTGCATCCAGCTGATGGACCGGTTTTCTCTCCCTAGGGGACAGCAGGGCACCAAAACGTGGGATTCAGCTCTCAGGGCCTCAGGCATCTCAGGGACTAGGTGCAAGCACCATTTCCTTTGTGTCCCCATGGCCACCCCTGAGAAAGTGGCGGCAGGGAAAGTGGCTGTCTGAAAGGAAGCAGGCCCCTCTTACCCCCGTAGCCCTTCGAAGTCGTTGGCCTTGTTTGGAAAGATGGTGACCGCTGCTTACAGCATAGATGTCCCCATTCACCAGGGCGCGTCGGTGTGCAAGTCTGCACTTATCTGCCTTTTCTTAAGTACGGATTAGTAATATAAGTAAGGCAAATATTTATTAAGCCACTCTGACATCCCAGAGACCATTTACCCTACATAGTTTTTTTTTCACTAACGCACCCTATCCAGCCCTCTCCCACTGTTAAAAATGAGGCAACACGCAGAGGGAAGTGAATCACCTAGGTTAGGTTGGACGGCAGCGGCACGTCGCACAACCATTCTGTTAGCCTCTGCCTCTCCAGTTCTGTAAATTGTATGTAACTTTTTATACATAATGCCTCTCAGTGATAGAAATTGTTTGAAATTAGACAGATGAGAAAATAATCATGTGTAATGTCTCTCAGATATAACTAGGATTCACATTTTTCTGTGCCATCTGCAATATCTATGTTCAAAAATAAAATTGGACCCACTGTTGTATAATCCACTTTCTCCCTTTCTTCTGACTAAGTTCCCAAGTCGCTACTCTTTAGACTTAGGGCGCAGGGGGTTCCATGAATTGATGCTACACTCTACTCAACAGTTTTCTATAGCTGGGGAGATGGTCTAGTTTTTCTCTATTATGTAATAATGCACTTTACATAAATTTTAAAATGAGTATGTGTGTTCATCCCTAATTAGGTGAATTCCTGGTTATGGCACTTGCCTGATCAGGTTACAAGTCATATAGTATATACCAACATGTGTCCACCACAACGTTAGTGCCAGGTTCCACTCTTACCAGTGATGGACAAAAGTGTGCCTTTCCCAACACAGTCATAAACTCAGCACATTATTTTCTTCCTCTTTGCCAGATACATTGGGGCCGATAGCTTGGTGTGTTAGCCAGCTTTCCCTTGTTGTGACAAAGTACCTGACAAGTTAGTTTAAAGCAGAAAAGGTTGGTTTTGGCTCTCGGTTCCAGATGTTGCAGTCCTGGTTAGCTGCTCCGTGGTTTCTGGGCCTGTGGCAAGGCAGAAACATCATGGTGGCTGGACGTGGAGGGGAAAGCCATTCATTTCACAGCAGCCAGCAAAGACAGGGGGCAGGGAGAGAGCTTGTGCTGCTCCTCCTCCCTTTTGGCCCATCTGGGCCCCACCTGTTGGATGGCACCACCCATATCCACGGGTCTCGTCTCCCCCGGTTTGCTGTCCCATATGCCAGCTCTCTGTGGAAACACCCTAGTAGACACCCCAGAAGCGTGCTTTGCTGATTTCCTAGGCTTTTTCCCAATCCAAACAAATTGATAACCGATGTTAGCATCACACTAATCATTGCTTCAATTTAATTTGTTAATCAGAAGACTGAAACGCTTAACATATGTCTGTGTGTTTGTGTGTGTGTCTGTATTGGCTACAGTGCAGTTTCTATTTGCTCTACACACACACATGCACAGACACAAACATATACATTCACATATACATTTTTAGCCATTTGTTTTTCTACTTTGGTGAATGTTTAATTTGTGCCTACTTTGGCAGATGTTTTATTTGTACACACTTTATTGAGCTACTTGTCTTTTCCTTATTTATGTACCTTCACATGTAAGGAAACTGATTAGTTGCTGTATTACAAGTGGTATTAAAACTTTTGTACTAAAATTTTTCATTTTTATGTAATCAATGCATAAGTCTCTCCCTTTTGATTGTTTCTTTTACTGTTGCAACTGAAAAAGTCTTCCTGGGCTGGGTATGTAGCTTGGGGTGCAGTACTTACCCAGCATGCAGGAGGCCTTGGGCTCCATCCCCAGCACCACACACACACACAGAGGCTGCCCCACCTCCAAGCTCCGATAAACCCTGTAAACCACTCTGTGACCACTGACTCTGTGAACTGTTTCATGTTTTGTCTTCAGTCATCTGGAATTTGGTGCATATGGTCTTCACCTCCACTCTCTTTTCTTTCAAAGATCCTGGAAGTTTTAACTTCGCACCCCGCCTGTTCATCCTCAGCAGCTCCTCTGGAGACTTCTCAGCCACGGAGTTCGTGTACCCTGCCCGGGCGCCCTCTCTGGTCAGCTCGATGCCCTTCCTACAGGAGGACCTGTACAGCGCCCCACAGCCAGGTAAAGCCCGCAGGGCCACACCATCCTGTCAGCGTTTCCTGTATTGTGCAGTCTCTGTTTGCCAAGTGTACCATGGAAACCCTTGCTGGTGCTGTCTCACTTAATTCTCACACCCACCCCAAAATGAAAGGGAAGGAAGCCAACTGCATGTGATGGTCTAGGACTTACATTCCCACAGCACTTTTTCTCCTTGACAGTCACACAAGGTTTACTTGTGGCAAGGCCTGTGGCCCAAAGACCTCAGTGATACACTAAGCACAACAGTATCAGGCTGCTGGCTCTGCTCCTCTCCCAGCCTTCCTCTCAGACGTGTTGCTTCATGGTCCCTGGTCAACTGCCCTTGCTCCAGCCATCATGTTTGCATTCGAACAGAAAAATAGGGAGTAGGGGAAAGGGCCATGTAAGCCGTGTTTCTCTCTTTCATGAGATAAAGCAAAATGCTTTCCCAGATGCCCCCAGCAGACTTCTGCTCATATCTCATTGGCCAAAGAGTGTCACATGGCCACTCCAGCTGCAAGGGAGCATGGGAAAGCAAAGGGTGAAGGATCAGCTGAGTTAGTCCAAGAGCAGTGTCTGGGTCACTGCAGAGCCAATATTCCAGTTTGGGTCTTTGGATTCCAAGGTCAGGGCTGTCTCCACCTGGCCACCACCGGCAGCCAGCAGCGTCTGTGCCCTCCTTCTGCAGGGAGAGTTCCTGGGATCCCACCCTGCTGCCCATGAAGCCCGAGCCCAGCCGCCCCTGAGCTCGTGATACCTCCCCGGAGCCTGGATTAGCAACCTCCCCTGAGCTTTTAAAGGATGTGGCTTTCCCAGGGTGAGCTGAGCCAGCCAATGGGAGAGCTTTGCCAGGTGGAGTAAGAGTCAGACCGAGGGCTTGCAGGCGAGAAAATGAAAAGGGAGAAGTGAAGTTTTGCTTTTCAGAGCCCATTTCTCTCGGAGAGAACTGTGGACCCACATCACCGCTAGGCAGACCAGTGGGCGTGATCGCTGAAACCTGGGCCAGGCTCTGGTCTGACCGTGCTCTTTGGAGGCCTGTGTGGCCGAGGCCCCGCCATGGCCTGGCCCGCCCCAAGTCTCCAGAGGGGCCGTGGGCAGCCCGAGGCTGAGCTGGGGTAAAGGTGAGGCCGAGAGGCAACGGAAAGGAAGAGGCCACACCTTTGCCGCCTGCTCTCTACCTAGGGGCTTCTCCAAGTTGGCCTTTCCGAGGGCTGAGGTGTGCAGGGGAGGGCTCCTCTATTCGCCCCTGGGCCCCTGGACTGGAGCGCTGTGTCACTGTCTGACAGAGCAGCCCCTTTGCCTGGGCACAGGGAGCTGGAAGCATCCACCCACGAGCTCCTGACGGGCCTGTCCTCACTCCCACAGCACTCTTTCTCGTGGACAATCACCACGAGGTGTACTTGTGGCAAGGCTGGTGGCCCATTCAGAACAAGATCACCGGCTCTGCCCGCATCCGCTGGGCCTCGGACCGGAAGAGCGCCATGGAGACCGTGCTGCAGTACTGCAGAGGTGAGCGCCTCCACGGGGCGGCTGGGGCTGCTCCACCCCCTCCTGCTGCACCCCCACCGGGATAGGCCCACAGACCTCGCGGGAACCAGCTTCCCCCTTTAACCTTTTGAGGCGTACCGATTTCACAGTTAGTACATTCTTGGCTTCCACAATGAAGAACCAGTTTTTCTCTTTCACATTGTGAGGCCATCTCACTCATGACCCTCAAGTTGTGCTGTGGGACATACAGGTCTCAAACCTGGGATTATTCATGGTGAGAGACAGGTAAACGACCACCACGCTCGCTGTCTGCAGGGAGAACAGGAATCTCCCCAAACTGGCTGACAGGCCAATGCCAACCCTTTTCCTCACTCAGTATTGTTTTAGTATTATCTTCATGGGAAAAAAACCTATAGAAAATTCATGGGGTTTTTACTGTACCATTTACCCACAATACGTGGTCTTTTATATGAATGAAAATGACAGTAATTAATATTTGTGGTTTTATTGATGGGCTTAATATCTCTGAGCATGCATAGTTCATCCTTTTCTTGAAAAACTCTCATAATAAGTAGCAACTTAGAATTTCCACCAAATGTAAAAAGTATAACATTTAAAAAAATGCTGTCCTTTGCTGTCTGATGCTACTAAAGTCCGTTGTACACTAGGGTGTCAGAGGGAAACTGCTGGGGGCAAATGAGGAAGGTGTAAGAGCCCCACCTGAGGCTCCAGGGGGAGGACCCGGCTCTCCAGGGACTCAGAAGCGTCTTGTTGGGGTCAGGATGTGGACTCACCTGACTCCCTGCCACTGTGACAGCCATAGGAGTGAAATTAGCATTTTGGGCAAACATCATCCACATGTTGTTATGAACCACTCCGAGCCCACATTTTAAGCATGAAGTCAAAAGTTCTGAACAAAGAAGCAAAGATTCCAAGGGAAATCAGAGAAAGCTAGGGTCGTTGGGGCTGCTGCCATTTGCATTCTGCTTTACTTCAGGAAAGAACCTCAAGAAGCCACCCCCCAAGTCCTACCTTCTCCATGCTGGTCTGGAGCCACTGACCTTCACCAACATGTTTCCCAGCTGGGAGCATAGGGAGGACATTGCTGAGATCACAGAAATGGTGAGCACATGCCTGGCCGCCGTGACCCCTGCCTGCTGGACCATGGCAGACTTTGCCAGGGGGAAGCATCCAGTTGCACTTTTACAGTGCAGCCAAAGGCACTTCGTGTTTGTCTTTTCCTGTGCAACATACCAATGGGTTCACACAGAATTACCTTAGGGTGAAGAGAGGCCTCATGGGAAGTCCATTGATCAGTTTGGGCAATGTTTTATATGTAGTTCTCAGAGTTTAAATTCTTACATAGCTGAATTTACTTACTTTAAAGACTGTAAATAAAAGCTGCTGTCTCTTCATTCTGTTAGCTAAAAAACATTGCTTCTCACAGAATACAATCCAAGTCCTCACATTTCAGATGTTAACCTTGCAAGAAGAGACACAAAATAAACCTGTGGTACATGAATGTATGTATTTGACTGAAAGAGTGAGCATATCGTGGCTCATCCGAGATGAGGTGCTGCATGCGTCTCATCTGTCTCTCATGTGGCCACCTGGGGTTACACGAGGCCTCCATGGCGTCTACCTACCAAAATGTGTTAGCATCCAGAAGTGTTTTATGTTCCCAGCACATGGACAAGAACTGTGCGAGTTAACCTCACCAGCGTTGGCAACGCCCAGGGTTTCTTTGGTTTGGTGAGAGACAGGTGTTCTCCCTTTGATTCTGTTGCTGTGTAAGAGAAAGCTGCTTTTCAGGGAGAAATGACTTCAGTGTATTTGAGAGGGAATCTATGTGATTTTAAACCGAGAAAAGTCCGCTGATGTGCAGCAGTAGAGTGAGGCTCTGTAATGGCATGGATGTTGCTGCTTCACCTAACCTGTTTCCTTGGGGTGGGGGCTGGGGCCTAGGGTCTGGCACATGCTGACAAGGGCCTCACCCTGGGGCGCCTCACACCCCAGCCCTTCTGACAGCTTACTCTAACCAGGTGGATTTGATCTCCTCCGGGAAGGCGCTGATGACTCCTTCCGACATAGTTACAGCGAGACTGTTCCAGTCACAATAAATATGGGATCACAAAAGCCCACAGCTCTGGGATTGTAGGCACTGTGGCTGCTTCCTGCAGACTAAGCCCAAGCCCCTAAACCCCCATCGTATTTCTGTGCTCACTGTGGGCCCTGGCGGTCAGCAGTGGGCATGCGGCGCTGTGCAGGCCTTTGGGGATTCCAGCCCTGTGGAAAATTGGGCTTCCTACACCGGCACATTGCTCTTGTAACTAAGATTCACTGAGCGTGTGCTCTGCACTAGGACTGCTCCAAACGCTTTGCTTTTATGTTCTCATTTAATCATCCAGTAGCTCTCCAAGACTCACCTTAGTGTCATCCCCCTCTTCTGAGAGTAAGAGCTAAGGCACTTTGGTCACTTGCCCCACGTCTGAGACAGCAAGAGGAGGAACCCTGTGCAGGCCCAGGCCAGCCATTCCCAAAGCCGCCTCTCCACCCAGTCTGGCCTGTCTGTTGCCGAATTTGGTGACAGCCTTGGTTATTCGTTCCCTTGTCCACCCACCCGAAAGGAGGGCAGCATATCCAGGATCCCAGTTTAATGGAGGAAGATAACTCACCCAGAATAGCCTATTCAGATTAAATGCACACAGTGGTTTAAATGGGAGAAAGAAAAGGCTCGATTCATCCCCAGAATATTCTAGGTGCTAGGGTCAAACACAGAGCAAATGCTCTACCGCTGAGCCCTTCTCCCATCCTTCCTTTCCTTTCCTATTATGGACTAAAAACAGAGTCTAAGGAAAGGGTAGTGTGGTGAGATTTCTTTTAAGGTTAATTGCTTTGAAATATTTGTAAACACATTCCATTATTTGGAAGCGTCTGGTGTTTAGACTTCAGAGCCCATCGTCTTCTTCCATAATTCACTCACAAGAGGGTCCCTAAACATTTTTTGGAGGTAGCTCTGAGACAGGATTTACTAGAAACTTCATGGTAGGGTGAGAAAGTCAAGAGACCCACAGGCCTGTGACCAGTTCCTTTGCACGCAGAGCCCTGTTCCCTCCCCAGTAAAGGGAAGCTCCACGCCAGGTGCAGTGCAGAGGGGACAGAGTTGCACATTTGCAGGCTGTGTTAGCCAGCTTTCTGTCGCTGTGACAAAATACCTAAGAGAAACAATTTAAGGAGGAAAGGTTTGCTTTAGCTCACAGTGTCAGAGGGTTCCGTCCATGGTTGGCTGGCTCTGTTGCCTCTGGGCTTGTGGCAAGGTAAGGTACATGTAGTGGAACAGAGCTGTTCACCCCGTGGTGGCCCCAAATCAGAGACAGAAGCAAACCCCTGGAGAGGAAGAGGCTGGAGATGAAATATACCCTTCAAAGACACCTTCCCTGTGACCTGCATCATCCAATTAGGCCCCACCTCTTAATAAGCCCACTGCACTATGACCTCATCAGTGGGTTAATCCACTGATGAAGTGAAAGCACTGCCACCCCAGTCACTTCCACAGAGCCCACCAGCTAGAGGCCAGGCCTTCAGCACCGTGAGCCTTTTGTGGGACATTTTAGATAACAACCATGAGATGAGCCCCTGACAAAACGTGTTCCTGCAGAGACCACACCAAGTTCTTCTCTCTGTTCCCCCTGCTCTCCAGGACACGGAAGTGTCGAATCAGATCACCCTGGTGGAAGACGTCCTAGCCAAGCTCTGTAAGACCATCTACCCCCTGGCCGATCTCCTCGCCAGGCCACTGCCAGAAGGAGTTGACCCTCTGAAGCTTGAGATCTATCTCACCGATGAAGACTTCGAGGTAAGCAGCGTCCCCTTCCCCTGGGGTGGGATGGCAGGAAGCCCCACCCTGCCGAGCGTCGCCTCACTCGGCCACCCGCGATCCCTGTGCATCCTCAGTTCGCCCTGGACATGACGCGAGACGAGTACAGTGCACTGCCTGCCTGGAAGCAGGTGAACCTCAAGAAAGCGAAGGGGCTCTTCTAGCCGGGCAGACCGAGCGGGCACCTCAGCGCGCCGGACCGGAAAGGCCGATTCTGGAGACTGTTGCTATTTAAATGAGTTTTTCCAAACCTGACCTTATTAACGATACTGCTTGTCCCGGAGTTGTGTATTTTGTAAATGTTTAAGAGAACTCTTCGGAAACCTGCTTTCCACCGTTCTGCGGGGGTGTCAGTAAAGGCCTCTGTCATGCGCACTTCCGCAGTGATTGCTCGGCAGCCCCGCAGCCTGCCCTCCTGTTCCAGCTCGGCGTTGCCTTTGTATTTTTCTTTTTTGAAGCAGTTCTCTTTATAAAGTGTTATTTTGACAGTTTGTGGATTCTAAAATATATATATTTATATAAACACCGTATAAATCAAATATGTATTTAACAAAGCAATATGTATTCATTCACTTTTAATTTTTCTCTCTTTTGGCATCAAAGGGTTATTACAAGGTAGTTGGAGTGGCTTCTGTTGAATTCAGTCTGCCACCCCGCTGCAGCTTCATACACATCCAGAAGCCTCCTTCTGAGTTAGGCCTGACTTGTTCTGAGTGGTACTTCTGGTGCTAAAATGAACAGAGAATTTGTACTTACTGGTGTGGACGCTGAAGAATCCACGCGAATCAACCTTTCTACCTTAATATCTCCCAAAAAATGTATAGTGCCTTGTTTTTATGTACAGTTTATATACAGAAAAGTTTGCTCTGCATTTTTAATGCTGGTATAGAACATTTACCTACAGTTTTGCTCTCAAATAGTAGGAATAAAAACATCTCAATTTGTAAAACCCATTGTAAACATTACGCATGTCATTTTGTGACCTAGGACTCCAAAATAAAAACTTCAGAATAATCACAACAATGAACTGGTTGGTTCACACTGCATTCTAAGCATGTTGCTTTGTGGAAAAAAATGTATTTGTAATTGTCAACATAGCACCAACATTTTGTCATTAAATATTAACTGCTATAACTTCAGGGCTAGATTTTATAGAGAGTCATGAGATTAAATAGGCAAATATTTGACCTGTAAAATTAGACTGAGGTCTGCAGTGAAGATATTTTTGCAGGTCATCATTTATCAGAAGCTCCATTCTACAACTATATCTACATTTAAAGATCACAGTGCCTTTAAAACATGGATATATAAGGTATCTAGAAAGCTCCTCACATGTTCATACATTCTTAAAATTCCAAATCCAGGGCTGAGGCTGCAGCTCAGTGGTAGTGTTTGCCTGGTGTGCATGAGGCCCTGCCAAGGTATGCACAAAAAAGAAAAGAAGAAAACCTATGGTTTCAAACAAAATCTACAGGTGGATTCTAACTTCATAGAGCCACTGCTCCTTCCCTTAAGTTGAGCCTGACACATCTGACAGTCACACATTTGCCTTAAACGTAGTATCTTCCGCACATGCCCCGCCCCTCCAAGCCCTGCACAGGATCGGGGCCTGTGGGCTGCTCTGGCCCCACCACGTTCTGATTCTGTGATACTGGGAAGCTGCTTAACTCCCCTGCCTTAATGTCCTTAAGAGAGGAGATCTTGCCTGCATTGCCGGGTCTTGGGCAAAGATCAAGGGGCAGCTCTTTGAAAGGATGGTAGTGAGATAGGAAAGCACATGAATGAAAGTTCAGGGGTGGTTATCATACACCTGGAAATTACAGATCAAATAAAAATCAAGTGGAGGGGAGAGGAGAGAGTATATGTCCTACGGGTAGTCTCCAAAGAGGAGTGGGAAAAGGGTTGTAGAGAGAATAGGGCAACCTGTGAGCATCACAAAAAGGAGAGACAGGGTTGCAGATATCTGTGACAGGTTCAGGAAAGCACCTGGGTTCTTAGGTACACCGGAAGTATACAACCAACAGAAGACAGAGGATTGGCCCATGGTGGGATGGATGGACAGATAAGAGATAGAAGAAGATAGATAGATATAGAGGATAGACTGATAGATGATAAATAGATGACCTTATTAGAGCAATAGGCTCATGTGACTATGGGGCCTGAGGAGTCTCACATCAGGCCACGTGCAGGGTGGAGACCCTCGGAAGCTGGTGTGTGGCTGGCTGTCCAGGACCACAGGCTTCAGAGCCAGAGAAGCCAGAGGCCGCTGGTGTAAGACCTAGAGCCCCAAGACCAAAGAACCTGGAGCTCTGATGTCCGCAGCAGTATAAGAAGCATGCATCCTGCTCCAGCAGAGAGACAAGCTCAGCATTCTCTGTTCTCAGCAGAGCAGGCGGTGCCCTTCCACACTGAGGACACACCTTCCCGACTCAGTTCTCTCAGACTCACAGGCCAGCGTCCTCCCGGGACACCTCCACAGGACGCCCCAGTAACACGACCAGTGCTCTGAGAGCCCTTCACCCAGTCAGGCCGACACCTACATTGAACCATCGCAGAAAGTAAAGGTACCTCCAGCTCTGACGCCGTGGGTTCTGGAAGTCTCAGGGCCGACACTGGAACTGACTTGCATTAGCTGGAAATGGACACAAGTTACCCGTTATTAAATCTTGCTGAATTAGCAAGTCCAACTTTACTGTCCAAATGCCACTGTGGCATTCATCTTGAGATGGCCATAATCAGATCTGTGAGCGAGCTCCACAAAGGAAAAGAAATTCTGAGCAACAATTGGACAAGAGCCCTGTGCTTGTGCTTATATGGAAGGAAAGAAATATAAAATGGGACCAAGACAGGCAACAATATAACTAGTACTTTTTCCTGACTGGCTTCTGCATATAGAAAAAAAACAGTAACTAAAGAATGCACTTGAGAACTGCAGGACTTGTTGGTATCAAAGCCTGTCCCAGGAGGTGATGATAAAACAGATGTCCTCCCTGCCCTCCTCCATCAGTGGTTCCTTCCTAAGAGAGGCCGTTCCACTTTAAACATCAGGAGTCACAAAGCTAACGGAAGAATTGTTTGCCAATGATGATACAGAGTCCCCGTCCCCAGTGAGGAAGCCTTTTTCTGGTTGTCAGTATCATCTTTCCACAGGTTCAAATCCAGCTCCCATGGCAGCCATAGCATCCGCTGCAGTGTGTGGGGGATGGCATGCTCTGTTACTCAAAAGGGTCCATATTCATCCAGGAATGTGAGCATGTGTTACTTACTCATTTAAATATTTCTTGGGTGTGAGCTAACAATAAGGCTCAACAGAATACAAATGTGACATCTACCAAGCTCTGAATGGCAAGGAGCCTGCATTCCAGGGGAAGGAGAGTAATGTAGCTCAACAGGAACTATAGATAATGATGCAATCAAACTCTGTAATGGGTTGAATTGTGCTGCTTCTTCCCAAAAATGCATTGGAGTCTTAACTGCTAGTATGTCGGAATTTGACCTCATTTGGAGATCTTTAGCTAACCAGATTACAGGAGCGCAGTAGGGTGGGCGTAACCCAGTGGCTGGCAGCCTTACTGGACAGGGAATCTGGACAGAGACAAGCACACAGGCAGGGAAGACCACATGGAGACACAGCGCAAAAGCGGCCGTCTGCAAGGCCAGCAGAGGCCTTGGGAGAATCCAACCCTGGCAGCACCTTGACTCGAACCTCTGGCCTCCAGAACTGTGAGGTGGTGATGTTTCTGTGGCGCAGCGCCCAGTTTGTGGTCATCTGTTACAGCTGCTCTAGGGCACTAAGCAGTGCCAGGCGGGGCTTGCCAGGGGAGAAAGGAGAGGGGAAGGAATCAAGTTGGCCTCATGGAAGAAGTCTCAGCCCCCCGGAGGGGCTGGTCGGATCTCTCACTGCCACTGAGCCTCAGTCAGGTGTCAGCACAGATGAAGACTTGGCAGGAGCAACGGGAGCAGGAAGGGAGGGCCACGTCACCAGGGCAGCACAGCTAGGGCAAGGGCAGCCATGAGGGACTCGTGGCTGAGAGAGGTGCATGGGAGGGAGAAGGGATGGGAAACTGCCAGGCCTGTTCAGATGCAGGGCTGACCTGGCCCTACCTGGGCCTTGGCTTCATCGGGAAGCTGGGCAGCATCCCTTCTCCATGACCAGCTTCCCATGGCCACCCAGTATTTGTCCCCTGCCTAACTGACCCCCTGTGTGAGTGCTTCCATCCTGTGCCTTTACAGTCACACCATTAAGGACTTGGATTTATTAATGTACTCTTCCAGTCTAGGGCCCATAAAGATGTCTTCAGAAACAGTTCTGAGATCACCAACAAACAACCCACAATAGTATTTTTTCTAGGAATCTTGTTTAGCTCTGCTAACCCTTGCTTTCGTTTTAGAAACTACTCCAGAAGACAAGAAGTATTCTGTTCCACTGAAAACATTAAGCATCTCTCCGTCTTATACTGCTATTTTAATGATGGCTTTAACTTTTTAATTTTTAAATTAATTATTTTTTTTCAGTACTGGGAATGGAACCCAGCACTCATGCATGCTAGGCAAGTATTCTACTACTGAGCTACATCCCCAGCCCAATAAATTTAATTTTTTTTAAGATGTTTATTTTTCTTTCAAAAAAACAATGTGAATGGCCCCATGATACTGATTGGGCATTTTTAACAGAAGACCAACACATACAGAACTAAAGAGGTTCAGCTAAGGTGACAGACCTGCATGTCGCAGAGGCGGCTTGGTTACCTCTGCTCCTCCTGAATGAGCGGGCCTGAGTACTACAGACACACTCAGACCCATTACCAGCTCTCCCTACTGTGGGGGGCCCTAGGGAAGGAATTCGCCCTATACCAGTTGCTTCCTCCGATTTCATAGCAGGCCCCCATGGTACAGACGCGGTTTGTCCCCAGAAGGCACAGGTGCTGGACGCTGGCCCTGTGTGACAATGCAGAGATGGTGGGACCTTTAAGAGGCGTGGCCTAGTGGGAGGTAATTAGGTCACGAATGGGTTGGTGCTGCCTCCTGGGACTGGAGCAAGTTTGGCAGGAAGTGGACTCCTCCGCACCACAGAGCAGGTTGCTATGGCAAGAGCAGGCAGGCTCTCTGGTTTCCTTGCTTGCTCACAGGGCCTGTTTTCTTTCTACTCTTTGACCAGGTTGTGACGCAGCAAAGGGGTCCCTGGCAACCAGCGGTGCCATGCTCTTTGGACTTCCCAACCTTCAGAATCGAGTCCAATAAACTTCTTTTCCTAATACTCCATCCAGCGTCAGATATTCTGTTGAGAAACACCGAGTGGACTATGACATGACCTTATGAGATGCTGTCACCCCATTTTACTGAGGGGCTCTTGAGGGCTCAGTTCTGATGCCTTCCCATGCTGGGGAATGGGAGAGGCTGAGTCTGAGTGACCACCGACTCCTCAGTGTCCTATGGCCTCCACACGGAGGGCAGACGCTAGTCCTCAATCGCTGACTGACCAGTGTTAACAACTGTCTCCTGCTCCTCTCTGGTGTCACTTGTGTGGGAGGCAGGACAGGTGGAGGAGCTGCTGGCCCTACAAACAGCAGCAGGAGGATGCATCTCCCAGGGAAAGGGTTCTGGGGTCTCCCCGGCTTCCAAGGCCTGCTCTGCCCCTTACCTTACCACTGTTACCCTGAGCAAGTTACCCAACCTCGCTGTCCCTCGTTCACATCTACAGAGTGGGCTGATGGTACCAGATCCTGCAGCACATGTGGCTGCAAAGTAAGACAAGGTATTCGAAGGCCCGGGCTGGCATACAGCAACTGTGCAATAACAAAGGGCAGGGCAATCTGGGAAATTTTTCCCCACTGAAGCAAAGCGATGTGGTGGCCCAGGACACTAAAGGAGAGGAGGAATCCACAGATGCTTCCACACCCTCAGACCCCCGGGGCTTCCTGAGGGTTCGGGCTGGGGCCAGCACTCCATCAGCAGGAGTTAGGAAGAACAGCCTGGATAGGAACTCGGCCGCTGGCCTGGCGCTAGGCTTCAGGGAACTGAGCACTGGCCTTCCTCGAGGGACGCAGGCCTCATTCTTCTTGAAATCTAAAGCTGACAGCTTCACCTCCATCTTCAGAAGGACTCCGTGCGTGTAAGGCAGAGGGCGAGGAGCCCTTCGGGTGTCTCCCCTCCTGGTGGGACACTGTGTGCCCCGCAGTGGACACTCCTGCCCCAGACCTCAGGAACCCCTGGCGGGTGGGGGAGACATGGCCACCTTCCTCCTGCTCCCTTCGCCTGGAATCCAGAAGGCCCTGGCTCCTTTCCTGAGCTTCTGTGCAGACAGGGACACTCGGGTGCCCACAGCCGGCGTCTCCTGCGGGACTTCTCGCGGGGAGCGGGGTGCATCGGGATGCAATGGGGGGGAGGGGGGCTGCTGAAAATGAACGGGCCAGAGAGCAATTCAGGACTCGAGACCACCTTTCAGGAGAACGCACGGACCTGTCTCCACCCATCACGGGGGCAAGACACAGATTGTCCAGCTAGTCCGGGTCTTGAATGCGCCCCCAGAGGGCCATGTTGGAAGGTTTGGACCCCGCCTGTGCACTACCGAGAGCTCGTGGACCTCTCGGGGCTGGGCGTGTAGGGCAGGAAGGAGGTCCGGCGCATGCTTTTGAAGGGCCTCCCTCTTCTTCCTTCCTGGCCCCTGTGAGGTGAACAGGCCTCCTCTGCCAAGTGCTCTGCCATGGTGTCCTGCGTCACCACAGCCATGGGGTGAGGGACTGGACTGAAACCTGAATCTGTGCGTCAGAGTCAACCTCTCCTTCCCTGCAGTTGGTCATCTCAGGTGTTTTGTCACAGGAGCAGCGCTCTGGGCCACGCAGCTGGCGGGCGCCCACCTGCCCCGCGGGAGGCCTTCGCAAGGCCAAGCTGGGCCCCCCCCCCCACCCCGCACAAGCCCATTACCCAAGGAAGGGTCTGAGCTCCTGCTCCGCAGCCAGGCCGCCACCCCGCGCAGCCCGCTCGCGCACCCTGCCCCGCTGGAGTCCAAATCCTTCCGCGTCCTGTGCTGCCGGTGACGCCCCTTCCCAGGGAGACCCAGTCAAGTCCTCAGTCTCTCCCGCGGCGCTAATTTCGACCTGGAGGTGACAGGTTAGCGTGCAGTATCTGCTGCTAACATGGAAATGGCCTTCTCGCAGACTTGCAGCAGTTCCGAAACAGCAGCAGCTGCAGCCCTCGAGGGGCCGGTGCGGGAAGCGCCCTGCTCAGCGGCGCTTAGGCCAAGGGCCAGCAGGTGGCGCTGTGGCCCAGCCGCTGACGCCAGGCGGGCTCCAGAGCCAGAGGCAGGGCCAGGGCCAGGGCCAGGGCCAGGCCGTGCAGGAGCAACCCGGGAATTGCACTCGCGAATCAAACTCCGGACCACGGCCCCTCCTGCCCCGAGACTCCGCGCGCCTGTGCACACAGATCTATGTTTACGGGGGCCGAGGGGGCTTTCTTCACCGTCTTCTCCTTGCCAGCCTTGCCATTTGCAGAACGAAGGTGATGCCTTTGTTCGGCTCAATTAGTTAATGTCAGGCAAGCTCTCTGCAGATGAAAAGTGCTAAACTCTATTTATCAAATATTTAATTAGCCACACTTGGGAATGATTCATAATCATCTATTCAACTTGCTGAATAACCAAGCAGGGAAAATGGAATGATCGGAAACATAATTTTAAATACAGGCTTTCATAGATTTTGTATCTGTCAAGACTCAGCAAATTTCCGAATTAGCATTCCAGTTTTCCCCTGTTGCCCAGAGGCAGGAAGAGGCAGGCTTCCTTCCCACTCCGCCGGTGGGCTCTGGCAGCTGCTGCCCACCCCATGCCCACCCCTGGCCTGGGAGTAGCTGGGCTGGAGGCAGCAGCATGATGTCCGGCCACAGGGAGGCCCGGCAGGACCTCACTTCCCAGTCCTGTACTGGGATGGTCCCGTCAACTCGTCCATCGAGGTCTACTTCCGGTTCCGGTTTCTCACTTCCTGTTGCTCACACAGACTTCCCCCTTCTGCCCTGGCAAGGGTTCCGAGAGAAGTTAGGTCATGAGGAAGGCATGAGCACTTTCCCATGAAAGACACCCATGAACTCAAAGTTTTAAGGTGATTCGGGGACATTTCCAGTTGCTCCAAATCACAGTCAGAAAATATGGCCCAGTCTCCCCTCCCATCAGGGCTCTGACCCCACCAAGACCAGTATTACATTATGCACACAAGCCTCTAGAAGCAGGGTTGTTCTCATCCATCCATTCATTCTGCAAGCACTTATTGAGCAACTACCCTGGTATAAATCCTATGCTGGATATGCAGGTTAGACCAGTACGGATGATTGTCTTTCAACTGCTGGCCAAGTGTAATTTTCAAGAAGTTAAAAAGCAAATCATTATACAGATAGATGGGGAGCCCTATGTTATTTTGGATCCTCTAGGAAGTAGGTCCCAAGACAAGGCTGGTTATGCAAGCTATTAATTGGAGAAGGGGCAGGAGGAGTCAGGGACAGGCTCCAGAGGATGAGGCATGTCTGACTCTCAGGAGACAGGCAGGAGGAAGGATGGAGAAGAAATAGTCTCAGACCAAAGAGGAGCCCTGGGAAAGTCTCGCCATCCTAGGGGAGCCCTAGAGCCAAGGGTGCTCCTCAGAGAGATGGGCAAAGGTGTCCAGGCCACTGTACCCAGCTGAGCTCCATCACTAATAGGACCTGACCTCGACAGGAAAGCTGTAGTCGACCCAGAAGCCCCCGCTCCAAGAAGCTGCTGGCTGTCCACAGTCCCTGTGCAGGGCCTCACTTGAAGCCTGCTAAACAGCACACTCCCACGGCCACCACAGACCAGTGAGCCACTGGAATCATGAAACTGCTAATGATGGAATCATCAGGACGGTAATGGAAGTCCAGAAGAGGAGAAGATAAAAAGCATATGTACACAGATACATATGTGCTGCTGTAAACAAAGAGACAATGGGAAAATAAATGATAGAATAACATTTCAGACTTATATGTGAAACTGGTCAATATCCTACAAGGTAATAAAAGCTCAACATTGGTAGTTACCCTTTTCTACCAGGCAGAAATCACTTGCGGTTTTTTCTAGAGTTAAAATGTGTGTAGCTTTTAAGAGTCCAGGCCTAATCAGTAGTAAACTGTAAGTCAGGCACGATGGTATTCCCTGGAGTCAGATACTCACTGGAGAATGCTGTGGTAGGAGGCAGAGTCACCTCTGTGTTCTCATTTTGAATAATTAATATTTCTGGGGGCTGACATTCTAGGGGGACAGGGACACAGTTAAATAGCCAGTTAGAACATCGTGTGACAAATGCTAAGACGGAGGTCAGCCATAGAGGGGCAGTTAGGAGTATGGGGGCACAAAGGCGTCCACAGGAAAAGACGTGTCCCCTGAGCTACGAGGATGATAGGGTTACCCAGGGACAGGGAGGGAGGGGGACAGCAGGAGGCAAGAGCTGCATGGAGCCTTTTTATGGCACCTCTGCAGACCCAAAAACTGCTGAGGGACAAGAGGAACCAATCTGGGGCCTGGAGCAAGCACCGAGCCTGGCAAAGCCAGCAGGTCAAATAGCAAACTATCCTGGGTGCCATGCTCAGGAATTTGGATTTTTGTCCTGAATGTAATGGGGAGACATGAAGTGAGAAAATAATATGATTGGTATTTCTGTGGATAAAGCTGGGCCAGTGCCATGTGCCTGCTGTCCTGGGAGTCTGAAGTGGAAGGTACACTAGGACCTAGCAGTTCATGGCTGACATACTGAGGCACTATCCCCCCAGAATATGTCTGTATATATTTGTTGTTGCCGACCACTCTAGCTGAAGGATGGAAGATGGATTGGAAGGAGCAAGGCTGTTGTCAGGCAGGTGGGGCACGAGGCTGTTGTAATATAGGTGGGAAGCAATGGTGGCCCAAACAGGTGGTGACGACAGGGACACACGGTGAGCTGGCTGCTCTGCAGTTTATCTCCTGCTCATCAGAAGGCTCCTTAGCCAGCTGCCTGAAGGATGTCAGGGCCAAGAGATGACTCGGGTGCCAAACTCCTATTAGCCATGGTGCACACACGTCCACGGTTATGGGATCAGTTCACAGACACCGGGACATGTAGGGCTTTATTCTTATTGCAAAGGGAAGCCATTTAGCAGGGGAGTGTGTGACTCACTCATATTTGCAAATGATCCCTCTAGCTAGGGAGTCCAGACTTGCTCTGGACAGTCCTGGCCTATCTCTGCCTAGGGTAATTTGTTTGTAGGGCCCCCTTTCATTTTCTCAAGCATCCTGGTTTGGACCACCAAACACAAGATTCCTCCAGGAGGAGGTGTGCAGGTGGCTGTGGAGGGAGCCTGGAGGACAGCTGGAGGCCGTGATAGGCCAGAGCAGGACGGCCCTGATGCCCTCAGGACAGGCGATGGACAGACACCCAGCAGGAGGGCAGCTGCATTAACATGGCAGAGGCAGCCGAGGAGGCCAGCACCCACAAACTACATCCAGTCTACGAGTTCCACCTCTACACCCCTCTCCAATCTGCCATTCTTCTCCCCTTCCCACGCTCTTCTCCCTGGCTCAGGCTTCTTTGTGTCTCACCTGAATTGAGGGTCTTCCTTCCATCCCGATGGGACGGCATCAGTCATTGACCCCTAGATGGTGCCACGCCTCTGCCCACAGCCTGCATCAAGGGCAGACCTCTGACCTTGGCCAAACACCACCTTTCAAAGTGACGTCCCTTGTCCTCATGTGGAAGGTCCCCAGGGTCCCCCTTCCACCCTTTGGCTCGCTCCGGACTTCTGCTTTCAGTCTCATCCTGCCCTCCTTGCCAACTAAAATGTTCAGCCTTTAGGAAATGTAAGTGTCACCTCCTGGATGTCACTCTCTTCTCCAAATGCCCAAGGCTCTCCAACCTCACCTCTTCCATGGCTTTACTGTGTCAGTCTTGTAAAACTCATCGTGTGTTTACCTTCAACCTGAAGGAATGTGTGAGCTACTGAGGGAAAGGGTGGCCTTTCTCCCGTCCAGACCTCCCACCAAGAGCGTGGCCCAGCACCACCAATGGGTCAGCAGTCAGTGGAGTGGAACATGGTGGGCAGAGGGAAGGCTGCCTGCGGGTTTCGTGGATCTGACCCTGGTGGCTTTACCCCTTTGATCCTCTCCAAGTGAGAGGCTTCCCAGCCAGGAGTGGACATCACAGGCCAGAGCAGCCCAGGTCTGCCCCAGGCCCGGCCTGGCATCAAGGCGGCGAAGTACAGAAGTTAAACTCTTTCATTCTGAATCCTCATCTCTTAACTGGATGTGTGTTTTGGTCAATTCACTTAACTTCAGAATCTTAGGTTTCTTTTGCACAAAGCACAGGCAGTGAGGCCAGTCGGGTATGCTGAGGAGATTAAAGCAGACAGATGTGTAGGATGCTTGGCACAGAGCCTGGCACATAGGAAACTATAGGTCAGTCATTATTTATCAAGTGAGTATAGAGCTGGAGGCAGTCAGCAAATCCCCATTGAAGATATTGATGATTTGGATCATTGAGTTAAGAATTTTTTTTATTTTTTTATTTTTATTTTTTGGAACCAGGGATGAACTCGGGACCCTGCACTTTCGAGGCAGGCGGTGGTCCCACTGAGCTAAATCCCCGGGCCTTGTGTTAAGCATTTTAAAATGTATAATGGCAGGTGTCAAACCAGAGTGCAGGGAGGAGAGGGCGGATCAGGGTTCCAGGCCTCTGAAGAGCAACTGGGTGACATTTACCACTAGCCTTTGAAATGCCCACATCTTGGCCCCACTAATTCCACTTCTGAGGAATCTATATTATGAAAGTTTACAAAAGTAAATGAAAAGCTTCTCCCCTAATGTGCATCTCAACATTATTTACAACAGCAGGAAACTGGAATTGACCAGCTATGGAAATACTTAAGAGAAATTTGGCACGAGACACTGAAATGTATGTATTTATATGTAAACGCTTAGTGGCAAGGAGCTCTTCGTGACCAGAGGAAATGCGTGTAGTGTTCAGCAAGCATTTTATGCGAAGATTATAATTACGTAAAAAGTATGTGCATAAGGAAGGTTGATTCTGGCTTCTCCCGGTGGTGGGAGCTAAGGCATAGTCCTTATTCTCCCGGTTAGGTTATTCTTCCTGCAATCCTCTTGTGTATGAAAGGAGGGTGGACCTCTTTTCTAATCAACAAGGAAACGCATGCTGTGTTAGCACCCGCCACTGGGGGGTCACTGCGGCCCAGCTGGCTGGGTGTTAAGCCCCCGGTGTTTCGGGATGCCAGTGGGGAACTTCTGAGCCATGCGACCCTGGGTGCCCACAGAGCCTGCTGCGTGGCCTCTCGCCTCGCTGACCTCACCTGTGAGAGGAGACCAGATGGAGATGCTCATGAGCAGGTGGCCGTCAGGGGCTCCTCCGTGAAAGGCTTTTCCATCCTGCTGTCTCTGAGTCCTGTTTGTGAGCCCACTTGTGCCTGAGGCCACTTAGGTCAGAGCCGCCTGGGGATGCAGGAGGGCGCTGAGCAGGTGACCACAGAGAAGCGATTCAGGAGCTGCAGCTGCACCCGCGACCAGGCCTGCTGGAGCCAGCTGTCTCTGCGGGAGTTTCGGAAAGAGAAGGGCCCCAGCTCTGTCCTTTCTTCCTCCGGCTGTCACCCTGCCAGCTCTCACTGGCTCCCCACAGGGCTGTGGACCCTGGCAGAGCACAGCTGCAGTTCTCTCCCTGGAGTGGGAAGCGCTGAGGTCCCCTGCCTGGCCCCCTTCCCCCTTGCTGGGCACCAGTTGAATCGGAGGCAGAGTGCTCCTTCTGTTCTCGGCCTTCCATCTGGAATGGAAATGTGGGCCCCACTCTGGAGCCTGGAGGGACAGAGTCTGCCACACCAGCCCCAGGGTGCAGGAGCAAATAGGCGCAGGCACCCGGAGGTGGCTTTCTACCCGGAACTAGCAGGGCAGGCGCACGGCTAACACTTAGTCCTGGGACCCGTGTGGGGCGCACCTTGAGATCCTTCTTACCAGGCTGCAGGTCAGCAAAGGCTGCCAGTGTCCACAGGGCGGAAGCCAGGGGCGCCGCTGCAGTGAGGCTGCTCTGCAGGGGTGTGTGGTCCCCAACCTGGCTGTTCACTGCCCATGTGGGCCTGGAACAATCACCCAAGCATATACATACCAGCTTCCTGCTTACAAGCTGAGAGTCACAGAGGACCCCACTATGCAGGGTTGGGCTGAGTCAAATGAGGCAGTAAGTGCAAAGTGTTCACCCCTGGTCCGGCACACGGAACAGCTGAGCACTAACTGGGCAGCTGTGTTTGTTACAAAGCTCTTCCTTGGGCTCAACCCTCATGTGGGCAGTGAATGAAAAGCAAATTTCAAGCACATCCCTACCTTAGGTGAGTCAGGACTACCCCTAGGAAACAGTTAAGCAGCTGAGTAGCAGGTGGTTAAATGCAAAAGTGCCTGAGGACTCAGCAGTGCTATTTATAATAGCGCAGCTGGCAGCAACCCAATGCAGCACACCGCAGATGCCCATACCCGGAAGTGTGCCTCTGAGGTGGGCGCTTAAGGAGGAGATCGCAGAAGGGCTCATGCCCATGGGTTGTCCTAAGATGCATAAATAGAGGCGAGTGTGACACATAGGTCAGAAGGAAGCCTGGAGGCGCAGACGTGGACGAATGCACATCTGCTTATCTTCCCCCCACTGACAAGTTGTTTGATGAAGCAGCAAGTGTTTAGCAAAGACGATGAGGCCACTAGCACTAGTCTTTTTTTCTTGCTTCCTTTTTCTTCCTTTTGAGACAGGGTCTCGATAAGTTGCCCAGATGGGGCTCAAACTTGGGATCCTTCTGCCTCAGCCTTCCTGAGAGCTGGGATTACAGGTGAGCATACTGGGCCCTGCTCACCAGCTCACAGGGAGTCAGGCCTAAGAGGAGTTCCGAGGAGAGTGAAGCATGGAGAAGAAGGCTAAGGAAGGCTTTGCCAGGATGAAGATGTTCAAGCACACGTGGAAGCATTTGTGTCTTTGAATGAAGGGAGCAAGCAGGGTTATCTCTGGGGGATCTTTTGTGTTCCCCTTGCCCGCTGGTCTCTTCCGCTAAAACGAAAACCTTGAGGTAAGCGTCCTTCAGGGCAGCATGGGAAGTGAGTGGGGAGAGAGCCAGGCCTGGGCTTCTCCCTGCAGCCAAGAGGAGTCAGGTAAGGCTGGCGGAAGACAGCGCTCACTGGGGACAGGAGCGTCCTTGCTGCCGGCTATCTGTACAGCACTTGCAGGGCCCTCATCAGCACCCGGGCCGGGGAGCACAGGGCAGTGGACTGGCCCCCTGTGGCCTGAAAAGACGCACACCTGACATGGGCATTTGGTCTTGGACCCTCGTTCCTGACATAGACTCCCCAAACTCTTGAACTTCCTGAGTTTCAAGAGTGACGGAGCACTTTGTTCTAACCAGGTGACCCTGGGGGCCGCTAAGTAGCTTCGGCGTGGGGGCTGTGACCGGGAAGACCAAGCCTCCATTAGGAGCCTAGGACTCCAACCCTGACCCTCCACCTCTGAATGCAAAGGGGCTGCCGCCATCTTGTGAGAAGAAGCCTTTAAACCCGTAGGATCTGTGCTGTCCCCGGGCAGTGCCAGGACTGGGTGACCCCAGAGCTGCTGACCGGGGGCCAGAGAAGCGGTGGTTAGGGACCGAGAACACCAACTACCTCAACTTTCAAAGTGACCATGGGCCCCCAAGAAGTGGGGGAGACGTGACCGGCCCAGGCAAGGACTGAACAGTACCTGGAACAGGTGCTTGGAGAGCCCCTAAGGCTACACAGGCCTCACCCGCGTTAGGAGAGCTGGCCCGGCCTACTTCTCCCATGGACTCCTCTCATCCTGGCACCTTAGGAAATCTTTATGAGTTAGGTGCTACCAGGATTTCCCCCCCGAAAATTTGCAAAATGTGTTTGTTACTCACCCCATCCACTGTTACTCACCCCATCCTCAAAATCTTAGGCTCAAGTGATCCTCCTGCCTCAGCCTCCAAAGTAGCTGGAACCACAGGAGCATGCCATAACACCCAACTTAAAAATTCAACTCCTGCTTCACTGATACACTTGCTGCATTAAAAGGTCCTGGGCTTGTCACGTATCATGCTCTATTTCAGGTTTCCAAAGAAGGCAGTATTATTTCTAACCCTATCCCTCGTCCCACCACCGTCAGTCCCTGCTTGGTATCTCCCCTGCGCGTCTCAGAGACCAGACTTAAACTGTCCCCAGTAAACTCGAGGTCCCTCCAAGCCCTCGCTGCCCACCCTGGGACTGTTTCTGAGGCGGCGGCAGCATCCGCCCTGAGTCACCTGAGCGTGAAGACTGAGCGTCATCCCTCATTGCTTTGTCTTCACCATCGCAGGCACCGGCCCTGCTGTCCAAAGAGCCCCGCGACGCCCTCTGCTGCCATCTGACTCTCACTGGTCTCTGGGGCCCTGCGGTGGCCTCCTCTGTGGGTCCACCTGGGTCCTTTCCCATGTGACCCCACACTGATGGAGAATGAGATTTCCAAAATGACAGCTGACCCTCAGGCCTCTGTTTAAAGCCCCCAAACGCTTCCTGCTCCCTTAAACACCAATTCTCTGACAAGCCCACAGGCCCTATCCAAATGCCCTCACTCTCTGTGCTCTGCCACATCAGCTTCTGCTTGTCTTACACCCTCTCAAATAGACCTCTGCACGTCAGTTCCTTCCATCCAGACCAGCAGTGGCGGACCTATGGCACGCATGTGGCAGCCAGCGCTTTGTACCTGGAAAGCTCTAAGAGGTTTGCCATCGCTGATCTGGATTGTTCAGAGGCCACATGACCACTCTTCACCTAGCCCGACCCACTCAGCTTTGGGACTCCTGCACAAGCACCATTTCACCGAAAGCCTTCTCCGATTGCCTGGCCTAGGCAGTTCCTTTACAACCAATCCTCCTGGACCTTTTCTTCTCCTTCCCCAGAACATGCATCTTGGCTTGCAATTATTAATACAACAGCTTGATTTCTCTGCTCATTATTGTATCCCAGCCTCCAACAGAGAGCCCAATGAGTATTGTCTTCTTAAATGTTTCATAATTTAATGAATGCACGAACGAATGAGTGAAAGAGTTGAAATACTGGGGCTTGGCTAATCTTTAGACATTCTAAGATTTATGATGTCACAAAATGGATCAAAGCCATACACTTCAAATATCCACTGGGATGAGTGATCAGCAGGGTGGAGTGTTGTGCAACTAGTATGACAAGCAGGGGCACTGTCTGGCAAATGCATGGGCCTTCAGGCCCTCCTACGGGGAGGTCACAGATCAAGAAAGGACTGGAGTTTAAGGCTTTGGAGCCACCCCAATTCCCATGGATACTGAGCCTCACCTTTCAGCATGGTGCCTGTGAGGGCATCGGAGGAATGGCAAGGGCATTTTGGTTATCACAGCACCAGGAAGCGTGCGACTGGTACTCATTTGGAGGCTCAAAGACTAAAAGACGAACAGTGCTTCGACACTGGGGCACTCTCACTCAGCAAAAATCGTTCCTACTCGGATTAGCTTTCCATTGTTGGGGCAAAATACCTGACACCTGCAACTTAAAGGAGGAGAGGTTTATTTTTGGCTCACAGTTTCAAAGATTGCAGTCCATGGTAGGCTGGCTCCGAGGAAGGGAATGGCAGAGGAAAGGTCCCAACTGAGAATGGAAAGAGCCAGAGAAGGGGCTAGAGGTAGGATACAGTCCCCAAGTCATGCCCCTGTGCCCCACATCTGCAGCCAAGCTCTATTTTCAAACAGTCCATTCAGCTACGAACTTATCACTGGGTTGACCCATGGATGAGGTTGGTTTACTCACTCACAGTCCAGTCTGCTTTCCAGGGCCTCTTAGTCCAGTTCATTTGCCTGTCAAGGTGAACAGTGCTCTAGTGCCAGCCCTGCCTCTGCTGGGAATTTGGGTGAGGAAGGCATAATGCAACTAAACATGTCCCTAAACCACTACCAAGATTCTAAGGAACCAACACTCAGCACTGTGAAAAAGAGGAAATAGCTGCTTATTAAGGGGCAAGGAGCAATGTGGCAGTGCTGGCAGCTGTGCCACTCTGGGACCAGATGCAGTTTCATGGCAGAGCACTTGCCTAGCAGGTAGAAAGCCCTGGATGAGAGAGAGAGAGAGAGAGAGAGAGAGAGAGAGAGAGAGGGGAAGAGGACGGGGGAGCCGCCCACCCAAGACTTCCAAGGGACAGCAGTGCTGAGACTCTGTCACCCGTCAAGGCAGAGTCCGTCTACCACGTGCCTGCTGCCTCCTTAGCACTGACTCAGGCTTGGGAAACAGCCATGGGGTTGGATGCAGGAAGGTACCAGCCACTCGTCCTCTCCTGGATGTCTGGGTGAGATCAAGACACTATCTTCAGGTTCAGCGGCCTCGTTTGAAATTCCCCAAAGTCCCTGTCTCCAACAGTTCCTCCTGTCTGAAAAGTTGCGCTGGATTTGGCCATTCACATTTGGCTGTAGCTAGGTTCTGCTCTGGAATTTAATCATCATATTGAACAACTAATTTCAAAATTGCGCTTTTGATCAGGGCTTCTTTATAGGAATATTAATTGTTTAAAGTTTGCAGCCAGAAAACATCTCACAGCCTAGATTTTATGACTCCTTCTAGATGATGGTAACACATGACTGAGAAGTGCTTCTGCTTCCTAGCTCCATAAATTAGATGTTGTTTATAATAATGTAGCTGGAGCGGTAACACTTTATCATAAGGGCTGCTGTCCCCACAGAAAGTCATTATTTAGTGTATTGTTGATAAACTGGTCATCATTCACAGGGAGAAGAGAAATTGATGTGGCCAGTTTTGTTTACAAGGTGACAGGCAATATGTTATCTTCCTACTGGACTGATGTTTTTCCTACCAGGTTTTTGCCACCAGAAGGATTATGTTACCTCCTGCACACTACTCAGGGAATCAACGTTATTGGTCTTTAAGGCCTTAGCACCCAAGCCATAGGAATCCCACTTTCTAGTTCCAACATGATTTTCAGAGGAGAATCTTGGAAAGAGATTTATTTTTTTTGGTACCAGGGATCAAACTCGGGTCCTCTCACTTGCGAGGCAGGTGGCGGAACCACTGAGCTAAATCCCCAGCCTAGGATTTTTTTTCAGATACAATTTAATCTCTTACATCCCAAATGAAAGACAAAGAAATGATGAACAGCCATGAATAACTTTGTTTCTCAAAACTACCAAGGTCATCAGATGACAGCCAGATGATTTCATCTGCCCTGCATTTACAGAAAGACCATGGTGGGCTTGATTCAGGGTATCCCAAGCAGGCACTGGGCAACCT